CAAATTAACCGCCATCTTGTTGGCAGTTAACTGCCAATCTTAGTTGGCATTTAATTTGCATATAGCCCTGATTAGCCAATGAAAAGGGTAGCGTCATACGCCAATTACCATTTTTCTCTTTTATTAGTGTAGATAGATAGATAGATAGATAGATAGATAGATAGATAGATATATGCCTAAGCAACCATTACGACCAGATGATCGGACAGTCAGATGATCAGCCAGTAGCTGTGACGCACACTGACCACCAGGGGACAGATGCTCAATTGCAGGAGCTGCCACCTGGTGGTCAGTACGCTCCCACAGCCAACCTGCATCTGGCTGATCTCCCGTGGTCCCTTCCCCCAAGCCAGCCAGCCCCAATCAGCCCTGATCAACCCAGATCAGGACTGAGAGAGACAACCCTGATCGGCCCCGATTGCTGGCTAGGCCGAGGGACCCCACCCATGCACAAATTCCTGCACCAGGTTTCTAGTGTCTTAATAAAAGTGCTCCCAGAAATATATATTTTCATTGCAAAGGGAAAAATGGTTTCCTATTTTGCCAAAATTGCTCTTTCACTTTCTTATACAGTGAAAGCACAGACTCTAGAGAAAACCAGATCTGCTTTTGAGATCTTAACCTATAACAGAATGACACTGGGGAAGGAAGTTAGTCAACCTCTCCTGGCCTTCATTTTTCCATCTCTAAAATGGGGATACATTATAGGATTGACTATGTAAAGTTATTGAGAGGTTTAGATTTTATAAGTAAAGCACTCAGTAAATGTTAGCTATTTAGCCACAACAATAGTAAAAATGAAAAACTATCTTTTTTGTTTGGTTTTAATTTCTTGTCACTTGTCTAAAGAAAAAAAAATAACAATTACACCAGCAAAAACCACCATCAACATTTCAGTGATTTTTCTTCCCGATTTTCTAACTGCAACCTATATTTTCTAGCAAAACAACAACAACAACATAGACTTTTGTCACAAGCTCCCCTCCACACCACATAATATATATTTGCCAAGCAAAAAACATAAAGCAAATCAATTGAAGCATAAACCCTATCATTAAAAATTCAACAATAATTACAATTTGTGATTCTGGTCATCATCTCAAAAACAGTCAGATATATGTTGTGTAGGATATGTTACATTTAAAGTCTAGAATTTTTTTTTCCTTGCCTTATTTTGAAACATGAACTAAAAGCTAGACTAATAGGGGCTTTGGGAAATCTGTCCCCTTTAGACCTAAAAGCAGGACAATGAAGAACAGGAAAATTATAGACTGCATTTAGGAATGTTAACCATTATTACATACATAAATGGTTTCTTTAACACAGAATTAACTCTCACTGTTTGAAAAGCATCACATGTTAAAAATATACCAACCTCCAGTAATCAGAACCTATACGGTTTTGGTTTTTTTCTTCTGGTCCTTCCTGTGTCTTTTTCTGTATTCTATGCTTTATATTTTCTTTGTACACGTTTCAGAGAGAGGCCTGATGGGAGGTATAGAAACTACCTAAAATCAAAGTTAAATGATGGAGGGAGTCTAGCCTCATCACTGTTCTGGCTCAGATGCTTCATTTTAAAACCAAGCAAGGTAGATACAAGAACACTCGAAAAATGTAACATCATCATAAAAAGTGTAAAGGCTAAATATTGTTAAGTCACTAAAAAATCCTGTAATTCAGTCCTTTTCTTTTTTACTAAAAAATAATTATTAGACTAGCTCCCTGTAATCCCCAAGATGAAGAAATAGGTATTCATTTCTGTATTCCTAGTACCTGGCATAGTCCCTAGCACAGTGCCTGGCATATAGTAAGTGTTCAATAAACATTTGTTGACTGAAATGCACTTAAATGGGAAACATAAAACTAACCAGGTTATCTTCTTAAATTTAATTTGTAGTATAGCATAATAGTTAAAATATATTGAGACATAATTATATGCCAGACACTGTCACATCTTAGCAACCCTATGGGGTACCAGGTAATATTATCTCCACTTTAAAGGACAGAGAGGTTACATAATTAGACCAGGGCACACAGCTGAAAAGTGAACAAAACCTGGATTCTTACTTTGAAACCCAAATCCTATCACAGGAAAATATTCATCACATATGCTAAGGTGAAAAACAAGGTATAAGAAAGGATGATTTTATTTTTAAAAGAAAATAACATGCAGATGGGATTAAATGAGATAATGCACTTAAGGCACTCAGCCTGGGACATGGAAGGCAGCCAATATACTATTACTACTCACATGCTCATAAGAGCTTTACAACTCCACCGATACACCCTCACCACCACAGCAACAAAATAAAACATGGCAACG